GAAGAGGAAGGGCATTTTGCTTGAGTTTGGTAGTGGAAGCCCAGGCAGAGATCCTGATTTCTTGCTCACGTATGCTGCCCAGTTTGGAGTCTGGCTGATCAAGAGTCCTGACTCGGCTTCCATTTCAGATGTTACAAGATAACTGCTGCCTTTTCAGCTGTCTGACACGCTCTGGTGTTGAAGGCATTGCTAAATCACCAACGTGTCTCTTCTCATGAGTATTTGATGAAATTCAAGCATTGTGCAAACACTCCAGAGCTGGCATTTGTGAAGCATAGTGCTGCTCCAGCAACACAGAGGGGGCTCTGGAAAAACCCTTCCTTCTCGAAATGACGGGAAGACATTTGTCATTAGATTAGCTGCCAGCTGTCACAGAGATCTTACATGCCTACTTAAATGAATGGCAAATCATAGAATGGTTTGGGTTGGAAGGGACCTTTAAAGGTCTAGTCCAACACCCCTGCAGTGAGCAGGTACATCTTCAACTAGATCAGATCTGCCTTTGGCTGCCAAAAGGGAAAAGGTGTCACCTCAGATTTGGCAGTCACTGTGGTGGCAGCTTGTGGCTGTCTGCTGCTGCTGCACTGTCACCTGTTAGTGACGGCATAGCAGGGAGTGGGGCTTGTCATTAATGAACACTGGCATAAGTAATTGGTGGATACAAGAGTAAAGTAAAATAAGCAATGCTATTCCCTGGCTCTCTTCCAGCATCAGAGGCGAGAGCAGGAGCTACGAAGGCAGCAGGAGTGTGAACAGAGGTGGCCCGAGGCCAAGGCTGTTCACAGGAAAGAGGAGAGGTGTAAAGAAGACAAAAGGGCTGTGGAAGATGAAGGGTTCACAGCAGATGGACAGAGGAAATCAGAAAAGAAGCAGGTATGGAGTGTTCACTGACAGCAATTCACAGCTCCCTGTTCCTGTAGATGTCTTTCTCAGTTCCCTGAAGGTGTTCCCATCCTCTGAGTCACAGACCACAGAGGGACTTTTTTAATGTATTTACTGCCTCCTCTTCTCAGATTACTGAGTCATCCTCCTTATCTACAGCAATGACAGGGCCTCTCCCATTTCTGTCCCTGCGGTTTCTCCATGCTGAAATGGTCTTCAGTCACTTGAATCTAATTTAAAATACCTTTACACTGAAAGCTCCCAGCATCAGCTCAACCTAAGCTTAAATCTCCAGTCTCCAGTTTCAGTCTGAGTTGTAGCCAAGACCATTTATTTTTCACAAATAAAAGTGGAGCAGAAGTTAGTTTTAATGCTGAAGTCTCATTGTCAAGTCTGGCACCTTGGCCACAATGTTTTTCTAATGTTTCATCAGCAAAATAATTTGCAATCAAACAAAAGTATGGAGTGTTTGATTAAAGCCCTCTGGTTTTAGGAAAAGTAAAATGAAAAAAAAAAATAATTCTGATGTCCTGTCTCAGAAGCCAAACACAGAGTGTTTGGGGTCACTTTAATGCTTCCTCCATTTGCTCAGGATTATGGCTCTTCTGTCAGCCCTGCTGGAATTGTGCTCGGTTTGTTCTTTGAAAAGCCAGTATTTCCAGTGGTCAACTTGGTTGTCCTCCAAGGCATTGTTCTCTCTGAGTTCATCACTCTTTGCTTTCAGAAGGTGGAAGATGTGCAGCAAAACAGGAAGGTGCATCGAACTCTCCCCAAAGATCAGACACAGCTGTTGTCTCTCCAGCATGACCACAAGCAGAAGAAGAAGGAGCCTCCAAATTCAGCAGTGCATCCTTCATCAAGCAGCACAAGCAAAGAGGTACTCTTTTGGCCAGTGTAGCATTTTGGTGCTTTGCAGTCTGTGATGCTGTGGTAATCCTGAAGCAGAGAAGAGACTGATCTTTAAACCTAAATCTGGAGCTTGACCTGTGTCTTACTGCACGCTTATGCTACAGTAAAGCCTTTGGTTTCCCTTAATGTAGAGGATAAGGGAAAGGAAAGGTTGCTCTGTCACTTCAACTAAAGTTCAGATAAAGGTTTGACTAGTGAATGGCGAAACAATGTCCTTCTGGTCAACCAGGTGTCATTCCCTTGTCTTCCAAAGAAGAATAAATTAAGGTAGTATCATCTGAGGTTTAATAGATGTCTTTGCCTGATTTTAGGGTTCACAAAATTGACCCAGGCACAGAATGGCATCATGTCTCACAAGCACAGATCTCTGTGCCCCAAGGTCAGCCTGCGATGCCTTTTCTTGTTCTTTGTCTTCCAGGGTTTCACGTAGATAAGATTCGATGGGTCAAGGCTAACCACATACAGACCTTGATTAAGAGTTTTAATCCATTTTGCTATTTGGCTAACTCTGAAAGTATTTCTGCCCACCAACTTGTTCTGCTTATTGTTACCATATTGTGAAAAGCTGCAGGTCCATTTCACATATGATATCTCATCATTCCTAGCACATTTATTTTTCTTTTTTATATAATCGCAACTTGTGAGCTCAGTTCTACAGCTGGTACGATTTGTTTTATTACTGAAGTCTGGGTTGATGTCAAAAATCTCAGCAGCTCACAGGTGCCTCCTTAGGTGGCTGTGTCTCAGTGGAATAGTGGATGTGATGGTCACTGCATTCATAGCAAAGCATCTTCCCAAAATACCCAAGCAAAGGCATGAGGAGAGGTCATGTACATGTATGTTGGAGAAATGCAGAGCCCTGTTTCTTAAGATCTTGCTGCAGTCTTTAAGCAAGTACCCTCTTCATCACCTCTTCGTGTGTGTGTGTGTGTATGTGTGCGCGTGTGCATGCTACAACTGGTTGCTTTAGCTGAGATTTTCTCAATTGATAAACAGTTAAATGAAACTGCTAGGATTGTTGAAGTGATGAATTCTAATAACTGAATAGAGTCTGCAAACAGATAAGCATCAATGTGAAATCAGGAAAACAAAAGATATTAGAAGAAGATATCCCTGTTAGAGCAGCAGTTTGTGAAAGCAAGGGAATAGTTTTGATGAAGTACAATTTAACTGTCAAAAAACCAAATGCCCTAGCTCAAAAGGCTTTATTGCACTGACTGATTAAACAAAATGTTACTGAAATTTGAATGGACTCCTCTTGAAATCAGCATTTATTTGATGGTGAAGGGCTGGGTCTTATTCTAGCTGGGGAGTAAATTGGGTGTGGACAGAGGAGTAAGCTGCTTTTGCCAAATACACAACGTCAAAGCCAATAGAAATGCTTTGACTTGGCTAGGCTTTCAGCGGGTGGGGAGAAAACGCAACTCAGTTGAGTTAACTTTCTTTTCTACTTCATTGTAGTTAGAAGTCAAAAGAACTGCAAAATGTCAGCTTAAATACTTATTTCTGGTTTTGACATGTGTTTTGTAAATGACCCCTTTGTAGCACAAAGAAATGTATTATGGAATTTAGTGTGCGGTCACCATTAACTTAATTTAGTGGTGAAATAAATATCGCTAGGTGCAGATAAAGCGCTGCCTGCCTTTTAGGTTCACAGCAGCATGAGGCTCTTGTTGTTATGGCTACCATCATACACTTTAGTTTGAAGGATAAATTATTTACAATATTACTTATTTAATCTTAGAACTTGGGAGTTGCAAATTCTTTCACCAAAATCATATTTAGTGGTACAGGGTTGCATTTTTGGTTGAAGTTTTAGACTTCATTATTATATCAGCAGTCATAGTTGTTCACAGCAATTTAAAAATGTTTTAAAGTTTTGACTGTTTTTAACAGTGATAACTCAGTGAATTTGTTCTCGTTGACAGTGATCTTTCCTAGTTTATTATCATAACATGGTATAGGTTGGAAGGGACCTTAAAGATCATCCAGTTCCAACCCCCCTGCTATGAGCAGGGACACCTTCCACTAGACCAGGTTGCTCAAAGCCTCATCCAGCCTGGCCTTGAACACTGAAGAGATGCTAGTTTCTCTGAGAGACATCTAGACAGGGACAGAGACAGCCTACTCAAGAGCAAGTTTGTTTGCATACTTTTTAGGGCTCAGTGGCATTTGTAGGACCAATTATTGATATAAAAAATTCTCCAGAATTATTGTTGCATTGAGGCATTAAAAACAAACAAGCAAACAAAATACCCTAAATCCCTCCAAAGTCTCAAGTTTAATGTTTGGGGCCACAGAACCCTTTTTTGAGGGCTCCTTGTCACAAGTTTCCCCTGGTGCGTGCAGATGTGAGCTTACTCCGTGCTGTATCTGGTCCCACCAGCACTGGAGCTGATGAACTGAGAGGCCAGGACTCCCAGCTCCGGCTTGACACTGCACTAGTTCAGTGCCTGGAGAGGGGCTGGTGTCAGTTCTGGGAGCCCAAGGTGTTGGCTGCATGAGTTTGCATCTGAATCGTAATATATTGCATGCAAGCACCCTTTGAGCACAGAGGTGGTAGGTAAATTATCCCATCTAGTTTTTATATTTTCTTTCTTGCTTAGGGTAAAATTAGTCTTTCATTATGAGGAGTTGTAAGAAATGAGGATCTGGCCTCAAGAGTAGTATAACAATCGAGTTCAATGGGGCTAGAATTCCATGGTGTTTGGCTGTGGTTGCTTGTGTTTTTTGTTTTCTTGGGGTTTTTTGGGGGGGAGTGTTGTTGTTTTTTCTCCCAATGGAGATCTGTGAGACTAAGTGGAATAATTTTCCATCTCCTCAGCAGTTTCCTGGGCTGTGTTAAGAATATGCTTATCTTCCTGACATAGGCACAAACATCCAGATATAGTGAGAGATACCATTAAAAATGCTGACCCAGACACAGATAACTGGGTGGTTTTATGGCATTAATCTCTAGTATACTGTGTAGAGCTGTTTCCAAGCTGCTGAATTGGAGGATATGCTAAAGATTTACATTAGAGAATGGGAATTAGTCATGTTGAATGAAACTGGAAAGAGTAATGGGGTCAAAACCATAGGCTAAAGATTTTTGTAATGAGCGAGACCTTCAGGAAATAAAAGGACCTTTATTCCTTCTGTTCCTCAGTCTTTTCCACAGTGCAAGTAACGTACCAAAAGATAGAGTGTTTAAAGTGTTTTAAAGTAGAAAGCAACACGCAGTAATGTCAACATTGTAGAAGAAGGTATTAAATACACAGCAAAAGAGGCTGCATGTTGTCAAAGGTAAGTAAGTACAGACAGATGGTTCCTCCCAGCTAAAATCCCAGCCTGCAGCAAGCGGGATGGCCTAGAATACAGCACATGGCAACTCAGGCCCTTTTCCTTCCTGCGGTTTGGAAACTTAATGGAAAAAGAAGGGTTGCAAATGGAGAGGCAATAATGGTTCATATTATGCCAGGGCTGACCTCCCCTTGATGGGGAGGTCCGTCAGAGTTGATGCACACTGTACTGCTGTTGGAGAACATCCAGGCTGCAAAGCCCAAGGCTCACCGTGCAACATGCTGTTGCTTTTCTCCCTCTCAGGCTGAGGACCGACAAAAGAAAAGTGACAGCATCCAGCCATCCCTCCAGTGGCCAGCGGTGCTGGGGCATGAAGCCACCCCACATGCCAGGATGGGATCTGGCAGCAGCTCCAGCCCTTGCACCCCCGCGCCACAGAGAGCCGTGTTAGTACAGGTATGGTACTGGAGGTGGGGAGGAGAAAGCGTGGGTGACTCCTAAGGGGAGCAGCGCTTCAGGAACCTGATTGCCTTCACTCTTGGCACAAATGACTGAGGCCTGTGCAAACTGGCTCAGGAGGTTTTAGTGCCACTACATGCTGCTAAATTCTATGTGGAATTATACCTAGGCACTGCAGATTAGGACTGGATAACAGTTATTTTTATATACTTGATGCTTGATTGTTGATTCCATTATATTACTCTCAGATGTTTCACAGAAAGCATGAATGACTGCGCTGTTGTGGTCTCTGGATGGTGTATTATTTATATGGTGCCATAAATATATGTGGCACTTTACAAAACAACATAGAAGACAGAATTTTTATCCCTGAAGACCATATAAGCAAAAGGCATTGATAGTGATCTTATGAAATAATCTTACAAGTATATGGAGATGCAATAACGGCCAATGCAGTGAAATTTTGGATAGACCCCAAAAGGTCTGTGACTTGAAAAATTTCAATATTAGTGGTAGAAGTGTTACCTAAACAGTAGCTGTACAGTGAAAGCACTCTGATAAAGTTCTGCATTGGAAACCTCTCAAAACATTTTATCTGCTGCTATTTCTACCCAGTCTGGGAGAGGTGGTGATTCAGGGTTCTCACAGTGTGTCCAAAACTCTGCTTCCTTTCAACATCCTACTCTTTCACATGTATGAAATAAGTAGGTTGGAGAGGAGATACTTTTTTTTCTGCAGTTTCACTCAGAATTATTTCACTGGAAATCTTAACACAGCCCCTGAGGTGCAGGGAACATGAATTATCGGTATCTTGTATCCTGTCTGTCTTGTAAGGGAAATGTGAGATATTACCAGATCAGAGTGTATCATTTCCACCTGCTTTGTACCTGTTTTGTGCTTGCTGCAGTGTGGTAGCACATCTGGTGCTCTGGTTGTGGTGGTGTGGGATGAGCTGTGCTGGGCTACCTGCAGAATTTCACAGAGACTTCTTGAACGAAGTCACTGAGTGTGTTTCTCTGCCCAGCGTCTCCTGCCGCCTGATTAGTGGAGGAATTTAGCTCGATTCTGAAATGAACTCCACTTTTGAATTGACTGTAGTTTTCCTGTAGGATTTGTTAGCTAGATCTCCTCTATTGTCTGGAGTAATGTGGCTGAAACAGAACAAGAAAGCTAACAATATTAGAAAAACTAGCTGTGCATTAGGTCATGAATTGAGCCAGTATCCTAGAGCAGATCTGCTCAGAAGTTGAAAATCCTTTTCCTTACACTGTTTTATAACAACAGTTGCACTTCAGTTCAAGTTAGTAACAGGCATCCTTCAAAAAGCAGTGCAGCCTGTCTTTTTAAAACTTCTTGCTCCTAAATCTTTTTAAACTAACTCTAGTAAATCAGTCTCTTATACTATATCACCTTAAGTTATAATTTCAGGGAGCAAAGGGTCCTTTTCCTTAGCTCTGTTAGGTGTTCATTTATGATTTGAAGACATATAGTAGGTAACTTTTTGTCTACCTGTGCTTTCTGTTCATGAAAGGAGCTGCTGTTCTTTCAGTATTAAAAAAAAAATAAGGCTTGAGTCTCTGTAATTTAGAATCACTGTTGAGGGTTTTCTAATTCCCCCCCACACCTCAAATTATTTTATCTGTAAAACTTAAGGGGAATACCAAACACTATGATTTTAGAGGTTATCTGAGATATTCTTGTCTTGCTGTGGAATTGTAAGGTCTTGTAGGTCCTACAGAAATCATCCAAAAGCAGGGGTGACTTCTTGGCTTTACTGGTCTCTCTCTGCCCAAAGGAAGTATGTGGGCACTATCTGCAGAGTTTGGATTCACCCAGTCACTTATCACATGATTCAGCAAAGCTCATCTGTGTTTTTAAGCACAAGTAGTTTTCTGGTAGTCTGCAGGACTCAAATGCTGGAATTTAGGAAGAAATGTAAGTATCTTGTTGAAAAAGTGGCAAGGAAAAAAACCATCTTCCTATATTCTGATAATAATACACTTGCTATAAAGCCTGTTCCTGTACCCACAATGAATCATTTCAAGGGAACACTACTGTTGAAATAATTCTGGTTAACTAAAAACTATTATTAGTGACAATCACATTGGACAAAAAAAGTAATTTTGACAAAATGAAAGGACATGGATTATGAGATGTTATAACTGCTGAAAAAGCTGTTTTCTGTAAAGGGAGTTAACAGAACGTATTGTCCCAAAAAAGGCAGAAAAAGCACTTGAATATTTAACTAGGTGAACTTCTCAGAACTGTTTTTTGACAGTTGAATTTACCATGCTGGTCTGGGAGGTTGTGATGGGACCTTCGAATGAATGTTTATCAGCTTTAAATAGTTTTAGAATTACTACCTGTCAATATTTAAGTGATTTTTAACGTTATTCCCATGAAATAATTAGTCTTGTAGAGTTATAGGGAGTTCATAATCGTATTATATTATTGAAAAGCTGTGCACAGATCTCAGGTACTGTATTTTACTTTTTGAGACTGAGGAGATGGAGAATTTTATAAATTGGGCTGATAAATCAATAAAATATTAATCTGAGTCATTATCTGGGGAAACTGACCTGCAGCTGTCTCTGATCTGGGTTGCAGTAACTCAATCGGGACACACGAGTTTGAACTTTGACTCAGACAAAAATTGCTAGCTTCTTTTTTCGGCCTGCAAGTGGTGGGGATGCTGGTCTTGCTGAGTGTTTGAGAAGGAAGTGCCTCTCAGCAGAGGTGTGTTAGCATGCCGGGGCACGGGCTCCCTCCGGACGTGGGAAGGACGTCAGCCCGTGGCGTTCCTGCTGGCTGCGGGTGTCTCCGGAGAGCCCTGGTCTTGCTTTGCATGGGAGGTCTGACAGGATAAAGCACAAAGTGGTATAGCTTCAGGCGTTTGTCTAACATTTTTTTCTATTTCTGTAACATCAAGTTGGTTCTAGCATAGCAATCTGTCCAGATGGGCCCAGCTCACACAGTGCTTCTGTGTGTTCTGTCTTGGTCTTGTGTCCAAGAGGATTTCTCATTTCAGGGAGGATCAGTACATTCAGTTGACGTTTTTAGCTCTCTGCCTTTCTTCCCCTTTGGAAGATGCCAGTGTAATAGAACATTAGTTTGTAGAATTTGAGACCTTTCCTTGTTTCCTCTTTCTTCCCCCCTCCCCCCCTTTTAAATACAGATGGAATCAGAGGACCAAATTTGGGGTATTTTAGTTTGAGTTTTACACTGCTTACTTCTTTTTCCCTTGGAATGAAGCCATTGTAAGTTAGTGATCTGATTTTTTCCTCAGTCCCTGCTGTGATTAGGGTATTTGCTATCATAATGCTCTAATTTGATACCTTTGAAAGTATCTTTTAAACACAGGTGGTTGCAGTCAATGGGAGCACCTGGACATGACTATCCATGAGGTGTAGTCTGAGCCTAGTTTCTCATTTTTTTTCTTACTGCATTCTCAAGTTTGGTTTGGTTTGGTTTGTTTTTTTCAAGTAATTCAAAAATCTGTTACAGAGGAGGGCCAGGGCACCCTCATAACCACAGGAGAGCTGGAAGCATTTCCAGCAGGCAGTTTGTCTTCATTGACTCTAGGTTGATGGTGAGGTTGCAAAGACTTGTTTGGAAGTCAACATCTAACTTAGGGGAGGGGTGTTCCCCAAGTGATTATACTATATAATGCTAAAATGGAAGCATTGGTCAGGTTTGAATGAGATACACTTACTTAAGACTCATTTTTGCATCATCCAGTTAACTAGTTCTCTTTGCATTGCCAATGACCTCTTAGCTTCTCCGTAGATTTAAGGAGGGGAGATACATGTACAGCATAGATGGTTTTTATTTTTATTGTACCCTTCACCTTGAAATATCTGTGCCTAACATGCTAAAATGCTGGAAATGAATAACTTACTTCACAGTGAACGAGGTGAACAGGCCTGTATCCAAAACCAGTAGTCCTTGTATGTTCACTAAAAATTTAATCTCACAAACAGAACCATTGGTATCTGTTGAGGTGGAACGTGTTACACGGGCAGGGAAGTGCAGTTCAACATGTATTTCATTTGTTTCAAGTGTGAAAATTTCCGGGCTAGTAAGGATGTGTACCACAGCAGTTCACTGTCAGATATGTTGACGACACCACTCAGCCCCGTGCAGGATGACGTATTCTGGAGCATGAGTCAAAATGAAGAAGAACCCCCAAAGGTATGTTAAACTCGGGGTGTTTGGCACTGCTGGTGGTTAATAGCACTCCACTCAGGTCCCTTGTGCTGTGTAGTAGCCATCCTCTGAACTTCCTGAAACTCAGTGAAAATCTCATTGCTTGTATGTTGATTTGGTCTTGATAACCTAGAAAGCAGATAGTCATTTATAAGCAGGTCAGTGTTCTGAGTTTATGTGTACGTTTAACATACCTGCGGGATCCGCAAATGCAGATCACTTCCTTTGTTACACCAAGTATTTGTAGCTGCCCCTTCTGTGAAAAATCTGGCTTGTTGCGGAAAAGCTACATTAGTTTGTAATTCAGGTGATGGTGTATTTTTCTTTTTAACATAATTTATAAAACCAAGTGTAAGCATATTTGTGTGGGGATGTGTATGTGCCTGTGTGTGTATTCATTTTATTACTTGGCAGCTGGGTGGGGTGTGTGTGTGTGTCTCTCACTTCCCCCAGCCCTTTGATAGCAACATAAGGTAATCCACCACCTAGGGAAAGCTGTATTAAGTGACTGCAGATGTGTTTCCCTGTCTGCTTTAAATATTGACCAAGTATAACACTGACTCTAAGGAAAGGTGCAAACCACTTGCAGTTTGCACCCTGATAGACTGCATAGGCTTGGAGCAAATTGGAAACACCTGCTGCTGACTTGCACCTTCAATGTTGATAATGTGGAAGACCTCTCCTCAGGTCCCACTGAAGCATTATTCATTTATGTTGGTTAGTCTTATCTTTGCATTGATACAGAGTAAGCATTAGGTTTATTAACTGAGTCTAAAATATCAGTAGCACCCTTAAAACATTTTATTAAATCCTTAAGGTTCCGGAAAGGACAACCTCGAAATTTTATAGCAAGGATCAGCCTGGCCATCAGAGATGCCTTTCAAGGTAAGCTTTTAAGTGTTTTGTGCTTATACTAATGCTGATTTATTGTCAATAGAAAAAATAAAGCAAACTTACTTAAAACAAAGCCATAACCTCAGTAACATCCAAAATGACATGGGTTCATACCTCATTTAGTAGCAGTTATAATTATTTTGTCTTTTGAGTCAGTTTGTCCACAAAAATAACTAATCAAACTTCTTGATCTGAAGGAGTGTCTGAAGCCTGAAGGAGGTGTCTAAGCCAGCTTCTTCTTAATGATTAACATAACTGATTTAAAGAGGAAACAAGCCTCTTCTAGATCTCCTCCTCCTGTTCATACAAGGTAGTTTGTCTTCTGCTGGAAAGCAGTGTTTTTAATATATAAGGGCTGTTCCATCTGTAATAATTCCTGCAATGAGTAGTTTCATTTGGTTCAGCCTATCTGGCAGGCCCAACTGGGTTGCATGCAAGTTGCGCATCCATTTCCCAGTTGATAGGCACCATGTTGTGCATTTAACTTGTGATGTGGTGATGCTTTATTTTCCCTTCACATTAGAGTAAGTGGCTGCTGAAGGTGCAGGGTACTTGAGATCCTAGCCTGTTGACACTGATGATGACCGGTGGGAGTGGTGCTGGTAAGGGCTGCCTGTATGTTCTTGTGGTTGCTCTACATCAGTGCCATTGGTTTCAAAGGGGAGTTAGTCTGCCCTCAAGGGAGACTATGTGTATTTTTTTCATATCACATGAGAAAAGGCCAAGAATGCAGAGCACTCAGTAGTAAAGGGTAGGCCCCACTGGATATCTAATCAGGGAATATAACTCTGTGGGAAAATAAAGTTGCGGAGATTCAAAAGGAAAGTAGGTGTAGCTGATGCAACAAAATAATGTGCGGCGCTTCTGGTGAGCCAAAGTCAGAAGCATCATCTGAAATAAATTTCAAGTGAAGTCGAGCCCTAAGTGCTCTTTACTTAGGAATTATAGGAGGCAAAGCAGAAAAGCAACATGTAAGTAAACCACAATGTTAACAAGTGGTGGCTTCTGAAGCCTGGGTTTCTGGGTGAGCCACTGCTTTACTTCACAGGCTTGGCAGCTTGTTCTACTGTCCTTTCTCCATTCGTAAGTGGTTGGTGATATACCTTCTAGGATGGTACTGGAACAGGTTTCATTATTTGTAAAAGCCATGAGATTCTGGAATCAAGAGGGACACAGATCTGAAGAGACTAATGGAGAAGTACATATAGTAGGATATTCTGTAATGACCTGGGCATCCCTAACCTCCCAGAATGGCTGCTCAGAGGAAACTGTCCCCTCCTTCCTCTTCTCTCACTACTGGGTGGCCCTGCTTGGAGCAGCAATTAATATAAAATTCTTGTTGATCAGGAGTATTATGTCATACAGAAACAGCAGGCCATAATTCAGTGGCCTAGGAGGTCCATTCTAGTCTGTGTTCCTCCATGCAAGATAGCCTGATCTGCTTTTTGTCTTTCTGTTTAGCAACACTCATCAGTCATCCCCTGGGGGACATGCTCTGAAGCTAAACAGCAGCAGCACTCCTGGCAACAAGCAGTGGGAGATGGGATCTCATCAGAGCAGCCGGTCAACCTCAGGTGATTTCTAAGTCAAAGATTCATCAGTCAAAATGTGAAAAATTCCTATCACATGAAACTGGCTTCTGCAGGGTGTCAAGTGCTGCATGGCAAATGGTGCCATTTTTTTTTAACAATGTCTTCTGATAATAGGCTTTTGAAAGCCCTCTGTATTTTATGGTTCCATATTCCTAAAATATAAATGCTTCCTCTTTTGAGTCAAAAAGTGACTGTGAACATATTTCCATATAGAAAATACGAATTGCCTCAAGAATTGAAAAAAAATCAGTTCTGTTGCACTTATTGACACCATTGAAACTCAGCAGAGCCAACATTACAGACATACAGGTGGAATTCAAGACTAATGTTCACCTGTTCATTTTCTGCATAGCTTTTTTACATGGCCCACAAAGATGATACAGATGAGCAATTACTGTTCACTAATATATCTGCACTCTAATAACGTACTGGCTGAAGGAAGCGTAAGACTCTGTGTACACCATCTTATGAAATATTCCTCCAATATTCTTTTATTTGCAGAAAGACAGTGGAACTGCAAAAAAGAAAAAAAAAAGGGCAAAAGAAGGTAAAAGGTAGAAATAGCCTCATCCAATTAAAGCAAAGTGCAACTTTGGAGGACCGGTATTGTTCAATATATTCATAAAT